GCTCAGTTTTTGAACAATGGTTCGGATCTGTCACTTTTGGTTTAAAGCAAAGAGTCACTAGTGTGTCAATTCTGTGAGTCAGTATTTTAATGAATTGTTGAGTCGAACCTTCAGGAATGCTAGGAAGGCATCTCTTTATTGGTTTTCCGAATAGTAGATGCCAAATATGTTGACTATTTTTGTTTAATAATGTAAATTAAGTCAAAAATTTTCATGGCTGTTTTTTCAATTCTGCAGGAGGTTAATTATTACTGTAATGGAGGCTTTTTTCGTAACTTGTATGGGAGCTTGGTATCTAAATTTTTTGTTGTGATCGTGGGTCTTTTTGACTTTTTTTGCTGGATTCATTCTTGTGATACGTTTCGTTTATTTGTTTTCCATATTCATTCAGTTCTTTAACTTACGTTTTTTATGCTTTTCACGGGGATGGAATTCATTTCTCGAAGAACAGCTGTTGTTGGCTGACAGTATAAATTATTTTGACATTTTGACGTGCTTTCAGCTTAGTTGAGAAATAGAGCCATATCTAAGGATTGATTGATTGGTCTGCTTCTAACAGATCATCTTGCTCCTTGCAAATTAGAGATTTTTAACAGCAACTTTCCAATAGTCTGTTACAGCGTTTCTTACGTTTTATATGTGAGATATTCAATGGCTTTATTTCGTCTTACGATTTGTTACTTGTAGAACACTTAGTTTTTGTCATTTCTTTGTGTTTTTGAAGATTCACTATGACTTGATGAGACCATGATGTTTGTCTTTCATATTCTTTAAGCAGACCTTTTTCCTTCAGTAATTTTTGAATAACTTGTTTCTTTAGTTTAATGAGGAGGGGAAAGAGTAGTTTTTTTTAACGTCTGCAAGGAGAATGTTAAATTATGAAGTTTCATCACTGACAAGTTGCATTTTTGTCACTCTTCAGTACTGGAAGGCTTGTGGTTTATTCCTGTTGCCTAATTGTTCTGTTCGAAACATTTTATTAACAGTTGCATATTATTATCGACAGGTATTTTAATAGAATATGTTTTTTATACGGAAGAAAGGAGAAAAGACGTTTGCTTTTCGGTTGCAGTTTCACGGGAGACGTCAATTGCTATCGTTTTTTAAATTGTTTGAAGATCGGTCCAGTTTTCTCTGCCTTATTTTCTTCATTTTTTAAAACAAAATTTTTTGTGAGCAGTAATGCTTTGCTTTGAAGCTCTTTACTGTGTTTGTCCAGAATTAAGTAAATTACGAAAACAGTACGCTTAATTGATCTTTTATCGCATCTACCAAGAATTTTTTTCAAAATTTGTTCAAGGATGCATAAAGATCGAATAAAAACATGATTCGTGTTACATTTTACTTTTACTGTCAAGAAATATTCTTATTTTGATTGGTAAGCAATTTCAGAAGCAGCATAAGATGCTGCTGTAAAAGTTGGAACGATCAGTAGGTGGTGTTGCATGCTTGTTTATCCTGCTGTTTTCAAATTGTATTTATTGTTCATTTGTTTCTAAGCAGAATGATGATGGTGTGGAGCATCTTCTAGACGAATTTTAAAAGCGGAGTATTGAGAAAATTTAAGTTTTTGTCGCTTGATCTTTTTTTAAGATGGCAGCTAAGAACTTTTGTCAAGATTAGAGCTCCTAAACTGGCTATAATTGTGATAAAAGAGAAGAATTAGTTCTGTTTTTTTTGGGTTGTTTGATATCGGGACGACTGTATAAGAATTAGTCGAAAGGTAAATAAAAAAGTTAAGGGTACTATTTTAAATGGTTTTTATTTTACTGGTTAAAATATTCTTTCTTTTGAAGTAATATTTTTAAAAACATTTTGAGAGTACGCAATTTCAACAGTTACAGTAGGACTTATTTAGGTCGTTCTGCGGAAAAAGAAACACAAGTTTTAGGAAATTCAGTGACTTAAGAGTTTGTGCAACGCTTTGATGTTTTTGGTTTAGAAGTTCAAGTTATTTTTTGTCAATAACTAATTAAGGTTTTAATTTATACCAACCATTAATTTGGAAAGTGACTCAGTAGAGAGATGGGTAACGCAGAGTGACTCTTGACTTCAATCACCTGTGTCCGAAAGAGTCTTTAATTAACATATACTCTTATTGACTGTGAAAAATGTTCATTATAAAGAAGTTTTTATTATCAGAAAATGAGATTTATGACTTTTATCTTAGATACGACCTCTTCCTAGTTTTATTAGAAATTATTTATGGTATTGTAGAACGAAGAATGCTGAAGAATTGAGTATTTTGAATATTGTTTTGTGCGGCAGAAGAAACTGCTATAGGTGGAGGTGACTTTGGTTGGCACTTTTTAACTCTTGGACGCTTTTTAAGGCTGGCTTTGAAGCTTTGCCTTGGTTTGTTGAAGGCTAAACAATATTTTTGAGTTGGTCAGCTAATAGTTTTTGATAGTTCCTGACTGCCTGAGATAAAAAAATTTGGTTCGTTAAGTCAATGCTGGCAAAATCAGTGATGGTCAAAAACCTAGGGTTTTTCTTAACCGGGTTTTGCTGAAGGTTTTCAAGTTATTCCTTCTCACGTTACCAGTAGATTATCTTTTTTGTTTTTTTGCCGACTGAGACCGTAATTGTTTACAAAACGTATTTTTAAAAAAGATGTAAGTGTGCCGGTTTTAGGGGGACTACCGAAGGAGGATGCTTCTGATTATTTGTGATTAACTAATACTAAGTTAGGATTTCTGCTCGATGGCTGATAAGGAAGAGACGGGGAATGGCGAGCAGGATGACGTCTCGTTCTTGAGAACGGTAAAGCCTAAATTCTTGGTTTCGTTTTTATTTGTAATTCAGCTTCAATTAGTTTAATGCAACAAATTTTTTCTAGCTGTGAAATTTGTCGATTTATCTTGAGTTCAACTTCTTTTCAAGTCTAACAGATTCCAAATACTTTTTGGTTTACAATGGATTCTGTTGTTTGAAAGGTCTTGAAATATAAACCAACGCAATAAGCAGTCAGTGGTAGCGCCACTAGGGATCAGAAAGTTGTGATGAGAAGAGCTTCATCAGTTTAGGCGCACAGTTGGCAAGGAAATCCCATATTTATGAGTTATCCAGTATACAAGTGATACCGGAAACTGTAAGAACGGATAAGGCAGCAATTTGATGTCAGGTTCATTTGATTTGAGTCTTAAGTATGTCGGGCAAATACTGTCTGTGTAGTTTATTCCTTGATGTAGGAGAGTTTTATTAGTTTGACTTCTTTTTGTCTGCCTAATGTTATTCTGGGACAGACTTAGTTATATATAAAATCACTCGTTGTATGTATTTTTTGAAGTGGATTAGGCTGGAATTGCCAACATGCTTAACAAGATATTAGCAAATTCAACTAGCTTTAACGTTTTTTGTGGTATGCGATTGGAACTAGACGGTATAAGTGTTCTTTCTAGTAATTCTAAACTAAAGTCTGGAACCAATGTTATTTGCATTTGCTATCTGTGTCTGTTCTGAATTCGTTGACAGTGAGCTGTGAATTTTTTATCAATAAATTCGAAGGGGAGGTCAAAAACGTTGCTTTTTTGGATAATTTAGTTGAAGCTGAAGATAAATATGACTACGTTCATAAGTTATTATCAAGATTGTTAAAGCAAGGTAATTCTTTATTACATTTCAAAAAATCATCGATTAAGACACGAACCGGTATAATTTTGGGCTCCTGTTAGTATTTTGGCTACAACTTGAGATTTTAACAAGCGGATTGACTAGGACTACTCGTCAGTCTATTGATTAGGTGTCACAAGGCTTAATTATTTGTATAAGGAGAATGCAAAAATTAATGTTTGAAAAAAGAAGTTCAACGTTCTTGTTTTCTGGATATTGAAACAGAAAGTTTTAGGGGGACATTGTTGCAATGTCTTGTTTGGCTTCGGCGAATCGGGAAGGCGTATTGGGTTCTGAACGAGTGTGTCTATGCACTGAAGGGTTCGGAAATCGGATGTGTTCATTAGAGAATGTTTCTGACAGGGTATGAACATGAACTCCAAACCTATTAGCACTCATCCTACTTTTGCAACTGTTTGTTTGATAAACGAGGGTCCCGCGGAATGTTACCCTTGTAATTAACTGAACGAAATATATATATATATATATATATATATATA